AGAGTCTTTCAGCGTCTCTGAGAGCGTCTCTCACAGTCTTTCACAGTCTCTCAGTTATTGCCTAGGTGTTTTTATGGATCTCTCACAGTCTCTGTATGAGAGACTCGAACGATGAAATTGTTAATTCAGAGATTCGAATCTCTCGTTCAGAGACTAGATACGAAATGAGGATCTCTCTATGAGCGACTCGAGTAGTACGTTCAGAGACGCTAAACAGTTTTTTTTTAAAGTCTCTCGACAGTCTCTCAGCGACACCAGAGAGACTCGATGAAGACGGAGACTCGAGTCTCGCTTTCAGAGACTCTAAGAGACTGAACATTTTTATCTCGGGAGCGAATTATCTATTATTGGTTGGATAACTAATAGTAATATTATGAGACCTTTCAGTTGGCTCATATAATAAAATATTTGTTTTTTCGACACCATATACAAAATACATTTTCGTTTACATCCCAAAATTATTAAATATTTCCGTTATTTTTTACATTAGTTGACAGACGAGTTGTTGGGACATGAAGTTAAGTCAGGTAAGTAGTACTCACCAAGTAGAATCGTGTGGTAATATTAATTCCATGTGGAAACCAATGTACCTTGAGATACAGGCTCCTAAAGTTTTCTTAATCGGAGGAAATTCCGGTTAGTATGGCCCTGGCTGCAGCCCTTCGTCAGCTGTTCTCGCCAAATATGCATTGATGACATCATTGTTTAGTTAGGTAAATTTATGACGAAGGCGGGCTGATATATTGGAATTTTGTTACGATGATATCTTTTAGGACAAACGATGTTTGGCGGGAACAGCTGACGGAAGGCTAAAGCCTAGGCCACTAGGCCGTACCTACCGGAATTTCCTTCAATTAAGAAAACTTTAAGAGCCTGTATCTCAGCCACATTGATTTTTAAACAAATTTCTAATAAATACTACCACACTACTTTACTTGGTGAGTACTATCTACCTGACCAAACTTGATGTCTCAATTCGAATGTCAACTAATGTAAAAAATTACCAATACTTCTCCTAATAAGATGAAAAATCCTTCAAACAAAGCCAGCAATAACGTCAAGAAGTATGGGATTCGGAGTCGTCCAGTTCGACACACAGCAGACATCAACAGTCTTCTTCCTCTATATACAAATATACCTTACGCAATTCAAATAATATTATCATAATTCTTTCAAAAGATGAGAAGAGTCTTTTAATTCGCTATGAATGACTTTAGATGGTTTAGCTTAAGCATCTTTTGTAGCTTTTCTTTTAGTGGAATCATTCACTATTTGCTGAGCTAAATTCTCTTGTGGTAGCTGATTATACTTTAAATCGCTTCTTAAAACAACTAAATTTTTCTGAAGGAGTGTGAAGTTTTGATCCACGTTTATAATTTTGTTTTGAGTGAATGTCACCATTGGTGATTAACCCTTTTAATCATTTCGGTGAATATTTACAAGACGGGGCTTTCAAACTCAAAAATTTTAAGGGAGGGATATTTATAACCTGTGAAAAATCGGCTACATCATATAATCAAGAAACGCCACGTTCTAAACGTTAAACCCGTAAAATAAATACCCCATAATAAAAGTGAAACTGTATTGGGGACATAGAGAATCCCTCCTGACCCATTACCTCTTTAAGTTAATCTAACTGATGCATCTAGCCATCCTCGATGGGTCCACTATCAAATACAGTAGAACCTCGATAAGATAAAGACCAAGAGAAACGTAAAATAATTTCAGTTATTGAGGTTTTTACTTACTAAGGGTTTAAGTTTAAGCTTTAAAATTATGGATTTCCAGTGACATAGCAAACTCTTCAGCTGTTTCATTTACTATAGGTCCACTAACACTAATGTTTTTAATTTTACACTGTCTGAACCATGTAAACAACAAGAAATTTTCTAAATTAGGAAATTCAGCAATTCTTCGTCTTTTACATAGGACTTTCTCCCGATTCAAACCACTTTTCACTGCTTACTGAGGTGCGATGCCCAAATTATTCGTTTAAGTTATAGAGAGTTTTTATTTTAAGTAATAGAGGTTTTGGACTCCGAGGGGAAGAGAACACAAAATTTTATGAATTTATAGAGGTTATTACGTTATCGAGATTTAAGTTATCAAGGTTCTACTGTAAACACACCGCCGCCTTGTAAGTTTGCAAAATATTCTAAAGACTGACACCAGGAATTTTATGACCTGCATCAAGAAGAACGGTCTATACCCTAAACACAGTAGGATTTCATGAAACGTTGTCTCAAGGCAGCTGCCTGTGTCGCACTGATGAGATCCAGCAAGATCGAAATTGCGATCCGCGTCTGAAGTTTCGTCAGAATACTGAGCACCATGAACTCCTTTGTTCCTTCTAAGTATGATAATACTTGAATAACCATTTTCACTAACCCTAAACATAAACTTAATAGTCCCTCCACCTACTTTTAAAATGTAAATTGAAAAAAATATTGAGGCTGAAGTGTTTTTAAAATTTGTAGACTTGGTAAAAATAACCTCCATGTTTCATGTTCAAACACATTAGTAAAATATGTTTATTTATGTATTTAAATTATATGCGTTGTTATATTATTTATTTTTTTATTTACAGCTTGCTGGATTAGCCCTTATAATAATTGGTGTTATCAACAAACTTAACATCGATACTGTAGAGTCAGTAGCAGAAAACAAAACCGGCAGTATATCGTGGCTTTCAATCGTTATTATAGTTATTGGGTCAATTATTTTTACCATAGCGTTCTTTGGATGCTGTGGAGCTATTAGGGAAGGAACATGCTTATTAACGACGGTAAGTAGGTGCCGTAAGTTCCGGATACCTCGCTGTCCGAGTCTTACTTAATGGGGACTGTAATATGATAAACTTTTTGATGTTTCTTAATTTTCTTCACATGTAATACACACGTACCTTTCATTTGATACTACGACATTCGTCTCTAAAAAATCAAAGTTTAGGGTAATCTGCAGACTCCAAAAGGTTAACATACTTAATTCGTAAAAAGGAAATCCAAAACACCAACTCACAATGATATTTATGTAACATTTACCAAAATGAGTTACTCTGCAATTATAGGGATGTCGTGAATATAGCGGCGAGATTCGCTGCGTGGATAGAGGTGAGGACGAGTGGGTATAGAAAATGCGCGAATTTTGCAATAAGGTCCAATCATTTCCAGAATATTGCGTAGAAGAATTTGAAAATTAATGGTACTTGGGAAGTAAATGCTTATTTGCTCGTAAAGCGTTGTAACTCCCACCGCTATCCTCAATTTTCACCACTCCGCTATAATTGCATCCTTACCTAAGGTGTAATGATGTACAGTTAAACTTGACCCGAACGTCTACAATTCCAAATCTCTTCTTATTCAAGCACTTTTTTATTTATAGTGAGGACACTTATGTTTTAACGAAAATTAATAAGGTTGACGTTAAGGCAGAAATTTTACATAACTGGAATTTTTTCTAATTCGAACATAACTGGTTGTATTTAACAGGTTTATTTTGATTTTATTTAGTTCATATGTAGTCTTTTCTACGAGTTTAGCATTTTAGCGTTTTCTTTTTTTCAAAATGAAACTATCTATAGTTAAACATAATTCAATCTTAATAATAGTAACCTTTTATGTTCTCGCCAGATATGCATTGATGACATCATTTGTTAGTTAGATAGATTTATGACGAAGACGGGCTGATATATTGTTGCGAGGATATCTTTTAGGACAAACAATGTTTGGCGAGAACAGCTGACAAAAAATGATGACTCAAAGAAGTTATGGACAAGCTGAATGTGACAAGAAAACAAGCTGGTTACATTAATTATATTAACGAAACCGAAAGAGAAAACAGAACTACTGATGTAAGCAAAATATACTTCGTTTACTTTCTGTAGCGATGTAACCTTCAGTTTGACCGGCGCAAAGTAGAAAAGAACAGCACTAGGCCAGAAAAGGAAGGAGACACACATCTTGGCCAAACTCTTAACAGGTGAGGAGCGTAGAATCCGTACAGTACTGCACGGAAAAATTGACCATTTTAACCACTACAATTTAATTGCTCAAGTGTGCTGTTATTGGTACCATTTAGTACTGCAAATATCAACGAGATGTTTATTAATATTTGAAGACATATTAAAGGCTCTAACGCTTGTTTTCGACTCGCACTACTATTAATGATTGAACAAAACTTTCGGCAGGTACTGTATGAAAAAGTATGTTTAATGAACAAGAGTCGAGAGTATAGCCACAAATAACAGACGATGACTATTGCGAGAATACAATGTTTTTAAATCCCTGCGATCCACTAGAAATTAAAAGAATAATTAGTACTTTAAACGATATAAACTGGAGAGGTAGATGGTATTAAAATAAATAAATAAAAAGTAAATAAAAATATAAAATCATTAAAGGAACATATAGCAAAACCGTTATCTGAAATAATTAATAAAATAATGGAGACTGGGTATTGCCCCATTCACTTTAAAAGAGCTGATGTTATACCTATATCTCTATAAAAATGGTAATATCCATGAACTTAACTACTACAGGCCTATCTTCTTAGTTTCTAATTTAAGATTTTTGAAAAGGAAATCTATGAGAGAGTAAGTAACTTTCCTAATGCTAATAACCTAATTGATGAAAATCAGTATGCATTTCGAAGAAGAGTTGGTTGTAGACAAGCATTGGCTGAACTAAGTGATTATGTTTACAACTGTATGGATTCTTCTAGACCCACTGCAATAATTTTTCTAGACATCGGTAAAGCGTTCGACTGTGTGAATCACATTATACCACTGAAGAAATTAGAGAGAATAGGTATCAGAGGAATCTCTCAGGAGCTATTCAAAAATTACTTGAGTGACAGGAAAAGATGAACCACTATTGATAAAGTCACCAGTGATGAAATTAGTATCAATATTGGAGTAGCGCAAGGAACTGTTCTTGGACCTCTTTTGCTCCTTTTCTATATCAACTCTCCACTAAAACAATACAAGGACATTAAATCTTTCGCAGGCTATACAGAAACCGTCTTGTAAGCAACATTCAAAAAAACAATTTGATTAGCTTCGGTAAACACAGAGACTCAGTACTGAAGGTTTTTATAATAAATATAGAAGACCAAATAATAAGTAGAACCACAAATACCTGGTACTTAGGACTAATTTTAGATTGTAATTTCAAGTGAAACGAACAAATAGATCGTTTGATGAAAAGAATTAAATACTTGATCTATGTTTTTCATAAATTACAATATGTAATGAATACAAAAAACTAGCTACAAATCTACTATGGACTTCCTAATATTACTGCAACGTGCGGTGTTATAGCATGGGGTGGAGCTTATAAAATTGTACTGGAACAACTTGAATCAATCCAAAGAAGAATTATGAAAATTATTTATTGACTTATCATTAAAAGGTGAATAAGGAAGAACGGTGAAAAATGGTTGTCTTACATATTTTAGTTTCTTAATGTAAAAAGAATTCTAATTACTAAGAAATATTGTATTTATATGTATTGAATATGATTTGTAGCTTTAATATTTAAGTTAGTTAACTAAGTACATAGTTTTCTATTTAAGTATTCACTTCTGTGTAGAAGTATTACATGCACTTCCTTACAGTTTAATATGTATAAACGTTCAAGTAAAGTTAAATAAAATAAAATGTAGTTATCTAAATATATATTAGAATATAATAGTTACTTATTATTCAATTTAATTTAGTGCGATTGTGCAAAAATCCTCCTAAATAACAGTAAGAACGTCCTAAATAATAGATAGTATGTAAGAACGTCGGTACCTAATCCAATTAGCTGATGTAACAGTAGTAGGTATCTGGAACAGTGAAATATATCTTTTATTCTTAATAAATCCATGGATTAATAGTCCCAAGGTTAAATAAACGTGCTATTTATAAATTTTACTTTCCCATTAATTCTTTCACTTCAATATTTAATCCATTTCATTAATGATTGTTTATCAACTAAATAACGTACTGACTGAACAGAATAGAGCTGGTTTAATAATTTTAAATTAAAATAATACCGTATTGCAGTATCACTTGCTAGAGGACTGTAATTATCGAATGTCGAATAATGAAAGCAAGTGGAATCAAATATTTTATAAAAACTTTTTAACANAAAAAACTGAAAAGCAAAAAATAATAAACCATTATTTTATTAACCTTAATGACTAAGTTCTTCAACTAATACCATGGTAATTTTGAGTCGGCGCTAAACAATCAATAAACAAAGCTCACTAAATTAATCAAATTAACAATGCAATAGTTATTTCTTTAAATTTAAGGTAATTTAGTGATCTTTGTTTATTGATTGTTTAGCGCCGACTCAAAATTACTTAGGTATATCTACTTGCATTAATTGAAGAACTTAGTTATTAAGTTCATAAAATAAAGGTTTATTATTTTTTGCTTTTCAGTTTTTTCGGCGGTTTAATTTTTTTGTTAAAAAGTTTTTATTTGAAAATTTTTGTGGCTATAATCTACTCTAAATTACTACTACCACTACTATTATTTTCCTACTATAAATCATCCTGTGTTTTCCTACCCTTAGTGTTAGATTTTTTTCCGAGTTTATATTTGACCAATTTCGGAGTATACCCTTTCCAAGAAAAAAAAGAATTATCAAAATCGAACTATTCTGTCAAAAGTTATGCGTGGTCATACATTACAATCAGTGAGCGAACAATCAACAATCATTCCTTTTGTTCCTACTCTTAGGGTTAGAATTTTTTTTCCAAATTTATATGGAACCAACTTCGGCGTATACCCTTTCCAATAAAAAAAGAATTATCAAAATCGGACTACTCTGTCAAAAGTTTTGCGTCGTCATATATAAAAAAAAATATACGCGTCGACTTGAGAACCTCCTCCTTTTTTTCGTCGGTTCAAAATGGTCAAACCCATTTACATTTTAATGGGCATAAGTAAAGCCCACGCCATACGTTGTCGAATGTTCGTTACCTTTATTTCGAGAAAAAAGAAGACGCAAAGCGGGAAAAGGCAAACACCGAGTGTTCAAGACTAGCAATCTATTCACACAATTAGCTATTCGGTAAATATTGTAGTGTTCGTGGGTTTAACAAAATTTAACTTCTAAGACGAAAACTATTTATTTACACTAATTGTTACTGAACTTAAACACACTATTAAATTATTACTAAACTTAGGTAATTATTCTATTTATTTACAACTACTGTTGATGTATCACTATGCACTGAGCTATTTATTTCACTTCTATCACTGTCAATTTATTTCTTGATTCACTTCTGCAACGGTCAATTTATTTCTACTCCTTTCGGCGATCGTGTCTTCCTTTATTATACTCTTTTGGTCCCTTTCGGGAACTTTCTCGAGCCGTCCGGAAAAGTTTCGTTTTCTTTGAACTGTGTAATTGCTTTCGCGGAACGCAGGTACGACACACACGTTTACAGATACGGCGCACATGAAGAAAGGCGCCCGTGGCTAGTCGGCGAATCGATAAGCTCACACACACGTATGCCCCATCGCACACAAACACGCTCGTGCTCGCTACAATATTTTCTGGAGACTTTCAGAATATTGAATGTGTGACGCGGCGTTTAATTATTAGGGGACATTCCATTGGAGGCTGCAGAATGTACTAAAAATGTTTCAGTTTTAATGTTCTCAGTAAAGATTAAAAATTTTTCAGTTATAACATTATGTTGAATTTCTTATTAGAAAAACCCCCGAACGCAAATAAAATCTCAGGAAATATGGGATTTGTTTGTACATATTTTTCACAAATTTGATTAATAGAATTTAAGATATCGTTATTATTTCTTTTAATTCGCATTTTAGTAATTATTTTTATTTTGTTTGATAGCTTTTGTTTTGTATACATTTTTTGAAGTTTGTACTTTTATTACTAGGTTTCAGTAACAATCAGATCGACTAAAATTCGAAAAATTATTTATCAAACTTTTCCAAAAACAATTGATGACATAAGTTGAGAAGTAATAATTCTTTAAATATTAGATAGGTATTACATCACGATATATCACTCTTGAGTCATTTGATAATATGTATTTGTAAGTTCATTGAAAAATGAGTAGAACAACAAATTAACTAATAAGCTAAGCCCATTCTGTATAAATTATTGCAATGGTCGATTTCATGTAATTTCATTTATCATTAATTTAACTCAAATGATAACCGTTTAGGTAAACAGTCACATTGGAATGTTTCATCAATTTTATAAAACACTTCGTATCAAGAAAAACAATAAATAAACAATTGGAATTGTGGAAATTTTCTTTTTCAAGTCGACAATAATTTCGAATGCTATCAGAAGCGATCTAATGATAAATATTTATAAATGATTAATGTAACGTGTTGAAACTGTAGTTCTTATCAAACTTTGAACCATGAATAATCATCTTTATTTTTAGTATGCAGTGATACTACTTTGTCTTTTAATCATCAATGTGGCGATAATTGTGGTCGTCTTCCTTCAATTCAAAGATGATGATAACAGTCAAATCAGGAATGCCATAAAGACAGGATTGCACAACAGTCTTTCTCATTACAACTCAGACACTGTTACTCGAGACTCAGTGGATTTCATTCATGGAACAGTGAAATATATCTTTTATTCTTAATAAATCCATGGATTAATAGTCCCAAGGTTAAATAAACGTGCTATTTATAAATTTTACTTTCCCATTAATTCTTTCACTTCAATATTTAATCCATTTCATTAATGATTGTTTATCAACTAAATAACGTACTGACTGAACAGAATAGAGCTGGTTTAATAATTTTAAATTAAAATAATACCGTATTGCAGTATCACTTGCTAGAGGACTGTAATTATCGAATGTCGAATAATGAAAGCAAGTATAGTTAAACATAATTCAATCTTAATAATAGTAACCTTTTATGTATAACCAAAGCAATTGTAATTATATATTAATTAGTTTTCAATGTTATTTAAACTTTTCTTTAACCACCTCCATACGATTTATTTTATAATAAGGTTCCCTAACAAAAAATGATGACTCAAAGAAGTTATGGACAAGCTGAATGTGACAAGAAAACAAGCTGGTTACATTAATTATATTAACGAAACCGAAAGAGAAAACAGAACTACTGATGTAAGCAAAATATACTTCGTTTACTTTCTGTAGCGATGTAACCTTCAGTTTGACCGGCGCAAAGTAGAAAAGAACAGCACTAGGCCAGAAAAGGAAGGAGACAACTCTCGGTAAAGCTCTTAACCGGTAAGGACCGTACAATCCGTACAGTACTGCACAGAAAAATTGACCATTTTATCCATTACAATTGCATTGCTCAAATGTGCTGTTATTGGTACCATTTACTACTGAAAATATCAACGAGTTGTTTTTTTATGTTTGAAGACATATTAAAGGCTTTAACGCTTGTTTTCGACTCGCACTACTATTCATGATTGAACAAAACTTTTGGCAAGTAATGTATGAAAAAGTATGTTTAATGAACAAGAGTCGAGAGTATAATGAGGTTCTTTCTCCCTACCTACGATTTTCCCAGCGCGCATTCAAGACATTTGAAGGGGCACATCGCTAGAGAAAGTAAATGAAGTATACTTATCTCCAGTTTTTTCAAGGTCACATGCTTAACCGTTTGAAATGACTTGTGCTCTATATGAGTAAGAAGCACTGATCCGTCTCACCAGCTGTTCCATCTCCCCCAACTTTACCCTATTTATTAATATTAATAAACCACTCTACAAGTATAAATTGAAAAGCCAGGTAGAATAATCTTCAGATGAAATAAATAAATGAAAATAACTTTTAAATTAAGCAACAATTTCAACTCCAAAGTATTAGGAACTATTGTACCTAAGTGTCATTTTCAGGTCCCTGTGATATTTCATTTAAAATTCGTGGGATACGAATGAAATTTACAGATTCATTTATTATTCAAATAAGAAGTATCTACCCGAAAATACGAAATTCAAAGAAAATGAAAAAGTTGAAGTTAATTAGAGCAAGTTAACAATTTCATTAAACTTTTCAATTCTGTTTAGAATTTGATTAGTTGAAGGAACTCTTTGTCGACTTTTTCTCCGTTACGGAAAAACTTAAAATTCATACCTCTCCGTGAAAACGGACAGCTGGAACATTAAAAATAACGAGAAACTTTGCAATTACTAACAAAGAAAAATCAATGAAACCGATGAACGGAAAGCTTCACTAATTTAAACAAATTTATCAAAATCGAACTGATCATAGACTGATCACCATGAACTCCTTTGTTCAGTATTGGTAACGTGCTCATTACGTATTGTGAGTTACTCAGTGGATTCACTTCAGCAAGTAGATATAAATGGATTTTGTTAAACATATTCAATTCCATTTAATGTAGTTTTATAATCAGGAAGTGTAGAATTGCTAAGGAAGAGTGGATTGATATGAGGTGTAAAGAAGTAAAAAAACAGTTTGAAGTAGGTAAAACCGATGAGGCGTATAATATAATTAGAAGGAATTTTAGAGATGTAGGGTACAGTAGTAATAATATAAAAAACGAGGCAGGAGTCATTTTGATAGAAAATGAGGAAAAGGCAGATACGTTAAAAGAATATTTAAAGAATCTATAGGCAGGCCGTGACTTAGGAGAAAGATAGTGTGAAGATGGATGAACTAGGTTATCCCATAATAAGAGAAGAGTTCGATGTAGCATTAAAAAAAATCGGTTGTCTGTAAAGTCGGTTTACTGGCGATAGTTGAACGTGACAACGTCATAAGAAAATACTGATGGAATGGTTTCATTTTTCAAAAGNGGTCGATTTCATGTAATTTCATTTATCATTAATTTAACTCAAATGATAACCGTTTAGGTAAACAGTCACATTGGAATGTTTCATCAATTTTATAAAACACTTCGTATCAAGAAAAACAATAAATAAACAATTGGAATTGTGGAAATTTTCTTTTTCAAGTCGACAATAATTTCGAATGCTATCAGAAGCGATCTAATGATAAATATTTATAAATGATTAATGTAACGTGTTGAAACTGTAGTTCTTATCAAACTTTGAACCATGAATAATCATGTTTATTTTTAGTATGCAGTGATACTACTTTGTCTTTTAATCATCAATGTGGCGATAATTGTGGTCGTCTTCCTTCAATTCAAAGATGATGATAACAGTCAAATCAGGAATGCCATAAAGACAGGATTGCACAACAGTCTTTCTCATTACAACACGGACACTGTTACTCGAGACTCAGTGGATTTCATTCAAAAAGAGGTATTTTTTTATTATACTATATGTTGTTGAGTGTGGTATATGAGAACGTTATGATATGCTACATACGAGGTCTGTTCAAAAAGTATGGCTAATTTTGTGTTTTTTCTTCTTCAAAGCAATCTCCACTAGTTATTATACACTTGTGTCAACGTTTTTTCCAATTCTTGAAGCACTTCATAAAATATTTTCTGCGATCAGAAAGTTCAGCTCCTCCTTCGATGCTGTCTTTGTCTCCTAAATCGTAGCGTAGCGTCGTCCTTTCATGGCCCTCTTCAGTTTCGGGAAGAAGAAAAAGTCAAAAGGAGCAAATCTGGGGAAAAGGTGGTAGCGGCATTATTAGTGTGTTGTTTTTAGCTAAAAATTCGCCCACAAACAACGATGTATGAGCAAGCGCGTTATCATGGTGCAAAAGCCAATTTTTGTTCTTCCACAAATCTGACGGATTTTGACGCAAATTGCGCGTAACTTGCAGGTAATATTCCTTATTGACCGTTAAGTCGTCGCGGACAGAGTCCAACAGCTCCTTAACAATGTTGCTGTTTTTGGTCGAAATTGAGCAATTTTGGTACGAATTTCGCGGCGACCCATCTCTTGCCTAAATCATTGGTAAAAATCGAATGGCAGGAGTCAGTCGATATGTTTAGGTCCTAAGCAACTTCTCTAACGGTAATTCGACGATTGGCCAATACTATTTTCTTCACTTCATCAATGCTTTCGTCTGTTGTTGACGTGCTCGGGTGTCCAGCACGCTCTTCATCGTTCACATCTTCTCGGCCCTCTGAAAACATTTGGTACCACCGATAAACGTTGTTTCAGTCCATGGTAGCTTCACCATATGTCACAATCAACATATGCGGAATGCATCTACACACTGAATTTTCTTTTCCGCACAAAATTTGAGCTATCAATTGGAATAGACAAAAATCGAAGATGAGCCAAAACACTTACAATCCAAACAGCTATCATAAATTAACTGAACATGGCCGAACTTGTCGATATAAGTGAGAGGCATAAGTACCAACCAAGCGCCACAAAAAAATCGAAAATCCAATATACGTAACGCACGGAAATTCAAAAGTCGCGATACTTTTTGAACAGACCTCGTAGAGTGCTAATCAGGTTTACAATTAATTCCGCGAAGGAAGACAAAAGACGCATTTTCTGAAGACCGGCAAGCTGACCCCCTATGATTCTTTTGGAACCTTAAATTACTTTATAGAAACGTTTGTTCGTGATATGTTCGTAATTGTTCACCAGTGACAATCGTTTCTTAGTGTTTTGTTTATTTAATTGAGATCACTGCACAAAGAATTAAAAACTTGCGATTCACTTACATACCAATGGAACAACATTGAAAGGGAATTGCAATCGTGTTTTTAATTTTAGTATCAATGTTGCGGTGTTTCCGGGCCTGCAGATTGGGACAACACATGGCACAATAGCTCATCCCCAGCAAGTTGCTGTTCTGAACCTANAAATTAACTGAACATGGCCGAACTTGTCGATATAAGTGAGAGGCATAAGTACCAACCAAGCGCCACAAAAAAATCGAAAATCCAATATACGTAACCCACGGAAATTCACAAGTCGCGATACTTTTTGAACAGACCACGTAGAGTGCTAATCAGCCATGATTCTTTTGGAACTTTAAATTACTTTACAGAAACGTTTGTTCGTGATATGTTTGTAATTGTTCAGCAGTGACAATCGTTTCTTAGTGTTTTGTTTATTTAATTGAGATCATCACTGCACAAAGAATTAAAAATTTGTGATCACTTACACAACAATGGAACAACATTGAAAGGGAATTGCAATCGTGTTTTTAATTTTAGTATCAATGTTGCGGTGTTTCCGGGCCTGCAGATTGGGACAACACATGGCACAATAGCTCATCCCCAGCAAGTTGCTGTTCTGAACCTATCAACGGGGTGTGTTCCATTTCGAATTCATATCAATCCGGTTGCGTAGATTTGTTATTTAAAGCGCTAAAGAAAGAAGGTCAGCTGTTTGCATATGTTCTTATGGGAATTGGAGCTGTAGAGGTATGCTATGCAAATATATTACTTGAAATCACTAATAAGACAATATGACTTAAACTATTAAGATGTTTAAATTCATTTGAACTTCTTTTTCGTTTATTGTACTGATGTCTTATTTGTTAAGAGTAATTAGTAACTAATGCCATCTCCTTTGTTGCAGCTTGTTGGAGCTATTTTCGCCCTTTGTTTGGTGAGCTCAATAAGGAATGCATACAGAAGGAGTAATTACGCATAGACGAAACTTTTCTTTTCATTAATTAGACTTTTAATATTTATGTAATAAAAAATACCATCTAATATTTTTGTAAGTTTTAGATTTATACGTATAATAACTGCTGATTACAAATTAATTCGTACAAATCCATTTTTTACTATTTAAGTTATTGATAATATCAACGATTTTAATATTAGGTACATCAGATAAATACGTTCTTCGTAATAAAATTATTAGTAATGCCTGATTTGGAATGTGTAATGTAATTTTTAACCCTATATTTATGATACAACAGTAGAGATGTACAACGTCTCATTTTACAAATACGGGTAGAGTAAGTGCGGCAAATATGGCCCATGCGGTTAATATGGACCTTTACGATAATTTAGAACGTATGGACAGGTAGGTTCCGAAGTGAGGATAACATAAAGCTAGACCACACGTATGTTCTATATTTGTAACGGTGATACAGATGAAGAGTGGACTGCATATTGTCAGTGAATTTTTGTTGTGGTGTGTGTTTGATATTATTTTGCGGTAAGTTTTGATATGAATTTTACAACTAAGTGTCTTAGTATTGTGAAAATGTTATATGGAATGTTGAACTACAAATCTAAAGCTTCTTTTATTCATATACATTTTTGTTAATCTTCATTTGCGATGCAGAAAAAACGGCTAATTTTATGTTTTGATCAGTGTGGGTAATATGGCCCGTTAATGTAAGGTATATACGGACCAGTGGTCCATATTAGCATACTTTCTATATTGCAGGCGATTGCTCCTCGACGCACACAGACCACAAAAAGATGGCAATAATGGGACAAAAACGCAATGAAAGAAGCTATATGTGCAATCAGGGAAAAAAAGGATGGGATACCTAAAGGCATTCAAACACTACAAGGTACCAAAGGCTACACTTCGCCGGTTGGTAGTAAAAGAAGATTTGCCTTTAGATTTAGTAACATTTGCTAAGTTAGGCCGAAAGTCGGTTTTGCCACCTGAATTAAAACAAGCACTTGTTGATTACATCTTAACAAAAAAAAGGAAAAACGATTATAAGAGGAAAGAAATGCAAAAATGATGACTATTCTACAAGTTCAGAAAGTGACGAGAAGATGTCATTCCTGACGACAGTTCCGAAGGCAGTCCTGACAGAAGCTGTGAGGATGATGCTAAATGTATTTACTGTAGTGGCTTATACTCAGAAGATCGATCTGTAGAAACTTGGGTACAGTGCGTTCCATGTAAGCTTTGGGCACACGACCTATGTTCTGGTGTGGATGAAGCCATTTTTGTATGTGAACACTGTTCTCCGTTAGATTAAATATGGGCTAGGTACCTGGTCCATATTTAACTCAACATAGTGCATATTACCCAAACCTTTCCAAATTCTTAAAATATTCAGTTTGTTTTTGTCTCAATTATTTTTCTGTTTTAAATTGAGAAAAAAGTTTATTTTAGTTTATTGTTAGATTCTTCGATACATTTACTAATTAATATTTAATAAAAGATTATGATTTGACTGCAACACATGGTTTTATTGTTAATTGAGTTTATGGTGGTCCATATTTACCGCACTTACTCTATATATATAAAATTATGAGTGCTGTCAGCACATGGCAAAATCCAGCTCTTGCTCTCTAATTATTGTTGTCACTGATGACAATGCTTTAAAGCGCATGAATTTAAACAATTAGAATCAAAACGTTTTTCAAACAATTTTTAACACAAAGAAAGTTATTAAACAACTTGTTCACAAAAATGAATTTCGACCACTCGAAGCAATGTAGCTAATAGTTTCGAGCTCACAGTGACTGATAAGAGGGAAGAACTAGTCTCTAAAAAAGAAAACAACCACGTCTACTTTGAAAAATGCTGTAGCTTTTCTTTACTGCAGTGAAATTAGTGAGGATTTAACGTACAACTCCTACCATTAAGTTGAATGAGAGCTAACTGGGAGAGCAGTCCTGAGGTTGGGGCATATCCGAACCCTTACTACGCTTAGGATCGGAAACCTCCAAACCCAACATACGAGCTGTCAACCAACTATCCCCTAGAGTCCGATGACATTTAGCGGACAGGAAACGAAGTTAGACTCCTGGGCACCCTCTGGTACCGAGGTGAGCACTCCTCGCTGGGCGACATCCGTTTTGCCTTCTCTTTATCACCTTGTATTCCTTAGCCTTCCAAGTAGCTCGAGCAATTATCTTTTCGCTTTAACTCGGCCTTCGCTTAAAAATGTGCAGCCCTCCAACATGCCAGACTGCATAATAGATCTGCGGATAGGTAGGTCGCAGCACCTGTGGGGGTTAGTATGCGATTGTCACTCAAAGTGTCGGGATAGACCACACCAAGATTGCCTCCCTGCGGAAGGGTTAACTAGGTCGATATGGGATTCTTCCCCCATATCAGCCTTCCGCGTCTGGGCTGGCACTTTAGCATAGGTCAGTTGCTATCTACTTTTTGTTGGCTTCAGGCGACTTCTGGCGACGAGTGCTTACGGACCTTCCCTCGTGTTCGTAAGTTATATTACACCTGCACTTCGCCTCCAGATTTCCGGGGGTCCCTTAGCTCCGCGAAAATTTCGTATGGGCACTGAACCCCCACCACGACAAGGTCGGAACCCAAAGACATTTAGCACATCGCCATAGCTCGAGTTATTTCACTCGTTTATATTTATAACCGTAGTACGCTGCGGTTTACCCACCTTGGCCCCTCAAAACTCTACCAGTCTTAGCAGACTTGTTACCCAAGCGTATGCAGCGAATATATATATTTTCCTCTCATCCCTCGAGGCGCATCTTCTCTCCGCTAACATGGGGAGGTGTAACCACTACCAACCTCAGGCGGCTAGGTTAGCAAGAAGATTGCTCACCCAGTGCCCTCCGGTCCTCCCGTGATACCATAACTGGTCGGAAGATCGAGGAATTACTTGCACTCCGGCAATGATAGGTCATTTGGGGTTCATGCTTTTAAGGATTTCAGGAGTCTCTCACCACCCATCTTTGCTGAGGCTCCAACCTTTTCCCAAATTTAGAGGGATAAGTTGCGGATGACCTCGGCTGTAGGGGTGAACGCAGTGTGGTCCGGTGTAGAGGATTCAGTTCAGTTCGGTACTTGCTCAGTATCTTGCACGTACATTCATTAAGTGCACTACACACGCATTTTAGTGCACTTCTAGTTTCGTAATTGCGCTCCATATCAGTTATAAGAAACATTGAATATAACAGAATTGTCATTACTTAACATTTTGAAGAGAACCCATTACGAATAGCCGCTGATTCTACGTGAAAATTACCTGTTACGAAAGAGCTAAGGAAGAATAACCAAAGTCATGTTCTTAAGTTATCTTCCATCACAAATATTGATCCAGGTTGCCACGTCTGCATTATTCACCTGCATCAAAAAAACCAATAAGTCATGTTAACCAAAAGGGATGTTCGGATTTAAGGTTAGGATATCTTGAAATTTCAATGTTTTAGGACAAATCTGGAGCTAGATTCGGATTCGCATATGAAAAATACATAGAAAACGATTTCCTTGTTTGGGATTTCTCTTTTCAGCCAGTCATGCGAGTGTGCTCTATCTCGAGTGTCTTTTCTTTTTCATGGACACTAGTACAGACACCTGAAAAAACACTCAGAGAAAAAAGTAAACATTTTCGATATATTCTTCGATAGCACATTCCAATATTATCTTAGAAAATCTCTAACAAGTTGAAATTTCGAGTTATACGAGTACTAAGCTCAAAACCAAACAAGACAAATTAGAAATAATTTGAATTTCTTATTTAAAATACATACATACCTGTATCAAAATGTTAATGTGTCTGAATAATTCTAAAGCGAGATTCTAATTTAGCGACATAGGTTCTTTTATTTCACGTGGTAGTAGGTACTTACAAAAATTGAATTTTTTGGCATTTGAAGTTAGAATATTATGTAGGTATTATTTAGATGTGCAATGCTGTACCAACTGCGAGCACAGTTTCAAACCAGCGTCGCAAAGTTGTTGTTGCAAATTAATATTTAAAGGATAGTTCATCGTGTTTTGTAGTCTTAAACCAATGTCCAGCTGCAACTCTATGATCTTGCTAAAAGCATTCTTTAGGTTCCCGCAGTGATTTTGACGTCCCTTTTTAGACTCGAATTTTTTCACACGTAAGAATTTAGCCATTGTCAAATACTGGATGTGATAGAATATACCACTACCAAATTCTTTAGTTTTACACCGTGTCACTCTTTTATATGGAATATATACGTTTATATGAAGTACCTTAATCATTTGTAAGCAACTAATATATTTTATTAAAGTTTTAAAGCGTTACCGTCTGTTTCTGTTTTTAACTTTAACAAAAAAAACGATTCTTCTAAGGTATTTATCTTGTTCTGTTGCTTGGCTGGATTAAGTCTGCGGGTGTGTTGACTCGGACAGAGTCCAGAGGTAAGGCAGCTAGTGTGTTGATCCGATTAGAGCTAAAGGAGTTGCGCCCAGGTGTGACGTATGGAGATCTCGCATGGTTCGACATCTTCGCTATACTATTCGACAGGGGTACGTGGGAGTCAAGCAATGTCCAATATTTTTGGTTTAGTTGAAGCATGACAGTTTTCTAGCTTAAATTAATACCTATGGAAATGTAAGAGGTAGTCTTGTTAGGATCGCATGTAAACATTTTCATATTTGACGTTTTTAGACCTTTTTCAATTAATTAACTCAATGAAATGCAAAGACCGTAGGTAAGTATGTATTCTTTTGTTTTCTTAATAATTTTCTGTGATTGCAACTAGTGATTTGTTGAAATTATTGGGATCCGTCAAATGGGCTTACAACATCTGGTGGCAAAATTTATAACTCGAATGAGGGAAAAATTTACATAGGAACTGTGCACGCAAATTCTAAAATTGTTTATTAAAATAATAAAACACGTTAAAAAAGTAAAATTTTTTTTGATGATGGAGTCGACGAAGTTTTCTTCTAAAGTTAAATCAAATAAAATGTTAATATGTTCAGTGTAAAGCTGCAATAGCACTTCAGACATAGATCTTCACTCTTCACCTACATTAACTACTTTTCAATAAAAACTAACCGTTTTATATATGTAAAAAATATATTCGGATAATTAGAGCAAAAAGTAAACTAATAGAAGCTTGGATGAAAGCAGTAGGTATCAAAGAAGTGAATTCCGGAATAAAAATTTGTTTACATCATTTTAATGCACATGATTATATTTCAGCAAGTATTTACCATCAGCCGTAACCTTAATATTTAAAACTAGAATCATACTAAAATTATAAAGTGAGAAATTATTTATTCTTGTGTAATTGATTTAACACAATTCTAATGATACGATATAAGTATTTTGAGGTTAAGAACCTACCTGCTGCAATACAACAAAGGTGCAATAATGTGTTTGCAACGTTCTCTTAAATCGGCTTTGCACGTGCAAGTCATTGATATGATGTTGCTTAAATCACCCAGAATCACCTCACCAATTATATAACGTGAATCACTTTTTAAATCCGAAGTTTGTAAAAAGTAGGCAGTAAACTTGACGGAATTTGAAGGCTAGCTTCCGGATTTGTTATTTCCGAATTTTATAATATGATTGGCATTAAAAACACGCTCACCTTCAACGAAATTTCCTTTCCGAGGATTTGTGTCAGCCCAATCACATATTGTGTCAATACTTATCATTTTATCGTAATTTAAAATCTTAGAAATTGCACGGTACACTATAGGAACTACGATAAATTTTCCCTAATCGGCGCCATGTTTTTAGGCTCCTCCCATTTGACGGATCCCAATTCTCTCTCCAGTCTCTCAGAGTCTTTCAGCGTTTCTGAGAGTTTTTCCCACTGTCTTTCACAGTCTCTGTATGAGAGACTCGAACGATGAAATTGCTAATCCCAATACAGTTTGTTTAATTTTTAAAAATTTAGGCTCTGGTTTCAATAATACCTACCAAAAGAATAATTCAAGTTGAAAAGTATATCTTGTCTAAATACACAATAGAAAGATATTTTAAGCAACCATATTACCAACATACCTATTATAAAAATATCTTTTTATTTTTTGAGAATTATTCAGTGTCTATGTTGTCTATACTGTATAGAATATTAATGTCGTATGATATGACTTCGGGTTGAGTACATTTTATTAAACACGGTCATGGAGAACAGAGGACTCTATGGAAGTCAATAAGAAGTAGGCGGGATAGGTTGGTAGGACACCTTTTCAGGCATGAAGGTCTAATCAGACATATTAGAGACAGAAAGGGAAGTTAGGAGGGATAGGAAAGAGTGGAGGTGCGTGTCTTAGGACTGACGACCATATGATGATGCTGATATTGTCTAAGATTTATGTAGTAGAATACAATGCGTAAGAAATCAAAATAATTATAAAATTATGCAAATTCCTTAACAATAATCATAACTACACTTTCTAATGTTTAATTAAAAAAAATATCTTCTGTTTTTTGTTCATAACTCTTTCACTAGATAATGCAATAAACAAACTAATATCTAATGAAATACGATATATAGTTTAACAAATAATCCTCCACACAAGGTGTTTTCCAAATTACAAATAGGTAAGTACCTTTGCTTTCAAGAAGATCATTAAAATATTGCACTTACAATTATTCAATTATTGTAACATATAAATATCAAATAAACTAAAAGAGACTCACCTTAATTAGCACTCAAATTTTTCACTGCCAAGACGTGCTTTATATTGTTTTTTGGTCGATTTGAAATCGCTCATTTGTTTTATCAACGACTGTATTATTATTTTACGGGGACACTATGGACAAACATATTACAAATAAAAAACTACAACATAATAAAAACTGCTAAGTATTATTATTGAAAAAAAAGGAACATAAAAAATGGTAACAGTTGGTAAGTAGTGTATAGAATATTAATGTCATATGATATGACTTCGTGTTGAATACATTTTATTAAACATGGTCGTCAAATTTATACAATAATATTTATTGCAAGAGAAATATCTTTGAATCGCATATGCATAACAATATTTTAAGTATAATTAACAGTTTCTTCGTAATGTTTTAATTAGAAGTAGATATTATTATTATTTTTAAACGTTTTTCGTAAAACTTCGAGTATGATAACTATTTGACTTAATAAAATTCATTGAAGTAGGGAACAAGTTCAATTATTTTTAAATCGTTTGGTCTTAGTTCGTTATGGTTCCGATGCCATTCGTATTCTGGCTGATTCTCTCGATTTGTTGTGGACTTCTGCAGTTCGAAGAGTAATTCCAAAAATATCTTCATGGTATCTGTTTTCGTCCTAAAATACACATTTCGTTTTAAACGTTGTACCTAAACTGGATAGGGTAGTTACTTTTCGATGGATTTTTGTTAGAGATATAGAATTTAAATGAAATCAGATTAGAGATTTTCCTAAACCACCTTCAATAATATTGATTATTAAATTAAACAGATTCATATCTAAATGTTATTAGACCTACACAAACAATTCAACAAGTGATATGTTCACCACTTGCACTTATACTTATATGTTAGATTTTTTCTACAATTTATATAGTTGCGTTTGGTTGCTACCCAAAAACTATTTCTTGTGCAAACTTAACTAAATTATGGGGCTGTAAAACTAATTAAGATACTGGCACATCAATCTCCTAGTCCACAATCATGCTAATTACGGAAGAAAAGTGGTGTGAATTGGCGATAGTACACAATTTATAAACATACAATTTCATTGACAAAAGAATGTAATTAATATAATTATGAACTAGGGTATGGAATCGTAGAGGGCTAGAGGTCAGTAGGGCCGCAAAACTTAAATAGTCTACAGACGGCAAATGTGAAAATTCGTCACTGGCTATAAGACAAATGAATGAGAGGTCATTTTTCAAAACATTTTCTTAATAAAAATATTTTACCAAATGTTACATAACTAATAAAATAGTTCAAATATTAAATTGATAATAATAATAATAATACAAAACTGANACACATTTCCAACGCATTTAACATTTATCTTTTCCGCCGTGTTTCGCACCCGTACAGCGTCGCGCTTCAAACATGCACCTTTAACAATCTTTTTCGAATTTCTAAATTAACCGTTCGCGAGCATAGAACTGACTTCTTTTTATTGAAGGCGACTCGACCCTACGCTATCCTCTGGTTTATGTCCGTACTATTCCTTCTGTCCTGGCTTATCTGACTTCCTAAATACCAAAAAGTATACTTCGTTTACTTTCTGTAGCGATGTGACCTTCAGTTTGACCGGCGCAAAGTAGAAAAGAACAGCACTAGGCCAGAAAAGAAAAGAGACAACTCTCGGTCAAACTGTTAACCGGTGGGGAGCGTATAATCCGTACAGTACTGCACGGAAAAATTGACCATTTTATCCACTACAATTACATTGCTTAAATGTGCTGTTATTGGTACCATTTACTACTGAAAATATCAACGAGATGTTTATTTATATTTGAAGACATATTAAAGGCTTTAACGCTTGTTTTCGACTCGCACTACTATTTATGATTGAACAAAACTTTTGGAAGGTACTGTATGAAAAAGTATGTTTAATGAACAACTGTCGAATGAGCTTTTTGATATTGATAACCGCACGCTGCTACTTTGAGCTACGGTTAGGCGGGGTGCAGTGGTTGGATATCACAACTGAGTGGCGTGAATATCTCGTAAATATATTCTGTGACAATTTGTCTAAAAAGGATCTGTATAGAATATCCTTGAAATCAAAAGTGGATGTTTTTTAACATCCTATAGATAAACATGGGAGCGGCGGAAAAGAAAATATTAGAAGCGTTCGAAATGTGGTGTTACAGGCGAATGATGAGGATATCGTGGATAGAGAAAGTTAGGAATGAAGAGATATTAGAAAGAATAGGAAAACAGACTTGATAGGATACCTTCTCAAGCATGAAGGTCAAGTCAGAGACATATTAGAGGCAGAAAGGGGAGTTGGGAGGGGTAGAGGTCGACCTGGATTAGATTACTGTTCGCAAATAGTTAAGGATGTGGATTTTTCTAGTTTTAGAGAAATGCGAAGATTAGCTCAGGATAGGAATGAGTGGAAGTATGTCTCCAACCAGTCTTAGAACTGACGACTTTATGATGATGATCATGGATAAACATGTGCTGTATGGACGATTGCTCTTGTTTCTGCATTACGGTGTATCCATTTTTGTACTACCTGGCGTAACTTCTACATGTGTCACACATAGAATACTGTCATACTTTATTTTTCACTCGAGAACACACCTACAGCTATGATACCCAAAACTACGCATAAGTTACTGTCAACCGCATGACAGTAATAAGCGCCACGCTCTTGTGTTAATTTCTAAATTCTAAGTGCTAATGTAGCTAATGTACTATATGTACAGTTATTTGTACCCGTTTTAATGCCTATACAGAAGTTCCATCGAAAAATGTAACACCCTGTTTCGATAGAACGTATATTCGTTAAATATCGAAAATCCTATACTTACTCTTAGAACAAGCATATATTTCTCTGCTTCTGCATCATCCAAATTTCCGCACGTCTGAACGATGGTTTTCAGTGTGTGATATACATTTTCGGCCATGGTTACATCCCCGCATACATAAAAATGACCCTTTTCAATAACTACTATTTTGTATATTTCCGATGCTTCAGCAAGGGCTAAATCTTGAACGTACGTCTACAAGTTAAAAGTTAATCGGTTTGCGTCTGCTTACTACAGATCGTCAATTGATTTAAGGAAGATGGTTGCCGTAAAAAGCAAATGGTCAAACAATAAAGGGTAAAAGTGCACCTTGAGTAAGCAGTGTTTCAGTCCATCACCTCAAAATCAATCTGAAATTTAACCCCGACTCTGACTCATTTTATAATGATAATTGCTGTTGAATTGTTATAATAGATATGGTGTAATGTCTACTTAGGAAGTACATCGTTCAAACGCAGTTCAAAAAGTATCGTGAATTCTGTGTTTTATCCTATTTTGTCCCCCTCAAAGTAATCTCCATCAGATGTTATACACTTGTACCAACGTTTTTCCCAATCCTCGAAGCACTTCAAAAAAATCATTGTTTGTGTTCTTGTTCAGCTCCTCCTTCAATGTCGTCTTTATCTCCTCAATCGTAGCGTAGCGTCGTCCTTCCATGGGCCTTTTCAGTTTTTTGAGCAACTTTAGATCGTCGCGGACAGAATCCAACAGCTCCTTAGCAATGTTAATGCGATGCTGTTTTTGGTCGAAATTGAGCAATTTTGATACGAATTTCGTGGCGATCCGTCGCATACCCAAATCATTGGTAAAAATCGAACAGCAGGAGCCAATCGATATGTTTAGGTCCTCAGCAACTTCTCTAACGGCGATTCGACGATTGGTCAATACTATTTTCTTCACTTCATCAATGTTTTCGTTTGTTGTTGATGGGCGTCTGGCACGCTCTTCGTCGTCCACATCTTCTCGGCTCTCTGAGAACTTTTTATACCACCGATAAACGTTAGTTCAGTACAAGGTAGCTTCATTAAATTCCACAGTCAACATTCGGAATGCGCCAGCTCACTTAATTAATTTGATACAGATTTTTTGATCCATTTTTTGAAATAGGCAAAAATCGAAGACGACCCAAAACACGTGCATGCAAAGTAGCTGTCAAAAATTAACTAAACATTCCACATGGCCGAACTTGTCGATATAAGTGAGAGACATGAGTACCAACATAACGCCACAAAAAAATTGAAAATGGAATGTACTTACGTAGCCCGCGGAAATTTAAAATTCACAATACTTTTTGAATAGACCTCGTAGATTATTCCCTTCAGTTGCGAGAATATGTTACACTTTTTTCATTGTTGGAACTGTATTAAAATATGTTCAAATGTAGCAGTTTCGATTTTATCGGTATTATAATTTCAGATATACGAGGGTGGATTGATAAGTTTCCGGCCTGACCAAGAAAAACAAGGTTTTTAAAAATTTTTTTTTTTTATTTCTCAACATAATCTCCTCCAAGGCTGATACATTTCTCATAGCGGTGTTCCAGTCTATTAATGCCATCTCTATAGACTGATTCGTCAAGCTCTTCAAAATAACCATTTACAGCTTCGATTACTTCTTCNTCAAAGTAATCTCCATCAGATGTTATACACTTGTACCAACGTTTTTCCCAATCCTCGAAGCACTTCAAAAAAATCATTGTTTGTGTTCTTGTTCAGCTCCTCCTTCAATGTCGTCTTTATCTCCTCAATCGTAGCATAGCGTCGTCCTTCCATGGGCCTTTTCAGTTTTTTGAGCAACTTTAGATCGTCGCGGACAGAATCCAACAGCTCCTTAGCAATGTTAATGCGATGCTGTTTTTGGTCGAAATTAAGCAATTTTGATACGAATTTCGCGGCGATCCGTCGCATACCCAAATCATTGGTAAAAATCGAACAGCAGGAGCCAATCGATATGTTAGGTCCTCAGCAGCTTCTCTAACGGTAATTCGACGATTGGCCAATACTATTTTCTTTAGTTCATCAATGTTTTCGTCTGTTGTTGACGGGCGTCCGGCACGCTCTTCGTCGTCCACATCTCGGCTCTCTGAGAACATTTTGTACCACCGATAAACGTTACTTCAGTCCAAGGTAGCTTCACCAAATTCCACGGTCAACATTCGCAGCTCACTTAATTTTGTTTTTCAAACAAAATTTGATGCAAATTCTTTGATCCATTTTTTGAAATAGGCAAAAATCGAAGACGAGCCAAAACACGTGCATGCAAAGTAGCTGTCAAAAATTAACTAAACATTCCACATGGCCGAACTTGTCGATATAAATGAGAGACATGAGTACCAACATAACGCCACAAAAAAATTGAAAATGGAATGTGCTTACGTAGCCCGCGGAAATTCAAAATTCACGATACTTTTTGAATATACCTCGTAGATTATTCCCTTCAGTTGCCAGAAAATGTTACACTGTTTTCATTGTTGCATTATAATTTCAGATATATAATATAGTTAAAAAAAGTGTCAAATTGCAAGTATCAATTTTTCTCAAAGTGTATTTCTTAAATAGGTGTTACATAAAATACTAGTTGAGAAAATGGCAAATTACAACAGGCATCAGATTATGTACAGCAGTTTACTGAATTGTATGCTGTTCCCAATATATTTTATTAAAGTGAAACTTTTATTACATCGCTTCAAATTTTTTTCGTCCATCTATCGCATGTCGCATTACAGCCGGTCGCGGAGTAGGGGTAAAACTGAAAGGTGCTCGGCAGAACTGCCAAGGCCAGTATGGCGGCGGCCATGGCTCGCATAAACTGTAGCATTATATTCTCACTCATTCGTGCAAATGCATGACAAGTACATTTATAGACTGTGAAACTCAAAGCGACGATAGAAATTATTGATAGAATAACTGAAGTTCAAAATGATTCAATGATTTAAATAAATATTGTTCTCAGTTTTTAACATGCATCTATCATCTGAATTATTGTATTTATTATGTATTCCGTACTCTCATATGCAAATTGAAATTAAAATTTATAGCTGGATATTTTATCTACTATTGATTTCCCATCATAATTCCCATTTTCCAATCATTAAGATAAGATTAAGAACACGATTTTAATTTTAATACCCTAAATCGAATAATTTTCGAAAATTTACGGTTAAATGCCTACAATCCGAAAAGTTTCACTTGCATCGTGGTCTCATAAAACCACACAATTTTTTTAATTACCTTAAATACTTGATGAGCCCATTTCTTGAAAGCCTGTTCTTGCCCACACATTTCATCTCCACAAGAAATTTTTAATAATCTTTCACCGCCGAGTTCTCCAAGAAGATTGTCGACATATTGACCAAATGCACAAAAATTTGGATATGCACTAGATCCAAGAGCAAAAACCGCGAATCTGAAAAACCAATGCTATGCAAAAAAATATCCAATTCTAATATTTCTACTAGTAACAATTTTCCCATCACATTAACCTATGTAGTTTACCTTTACACCTAAAGCAAAACAAAACTATCTTTGTATG